TTTTGGATTTGCGTGTAATGTTATTTTATTGAAAAATGCGTGAAAATGAGTTTCGAAAAAAAATGAATTTTGTAAGAATGTGAATCAAACATTGTATTAGTATGATTGGAGCTAGACGACATTATTCTTCGAAAATGTTAGGTTTTCTACATCGTATGCCATATGTTATTGCATTAATAAAGCTATTCATGCATGCAAAGGAATCAAACCTTCATGGTTCTGAGTTGGGCTGTCTCTATATCGTACTCAATGGCATGAGCAGTGCAGTCGAGTCCTCTATCACCCCGTCTCCCTCCTACGAGACGACGGCATGCTGGAGGGTGGGCCAGGATGTCCGATCTACCTAGGTTCACGGTATCGTACCAAACAGCCTTGTTATTTGGCAACAATTGTACGTGCATGGCTGCAACACCAGAATTTGGATTGTCCACCTTCCATGAACCTAGGAAGTTTGTCTCAAAATCCGGTTTCGGCTCGATTTTGGTGGCAGCTGGGGCCGATTCTTCGGGTTCTTTTCGTGGTTGGCCGTGGTTGCCAAACCATGGGAATGAGAATGGGAACGGGAACAGTAATGGGAATCCATGTTCACCTCTAGGCCAATTTTTGTTTCCTTCCTCGTCCTTTCCGTCTCCATTATCGTAGTACGGACCCGATTCGTCATCCTGATTATCGGATCCATAGCCATCTTTTCTGGTGGTGATTCCACCATAATTTTCGTGGACATTGATTGGCTTTCTTTCCTCAACAGGATCGAGAGAAGAAAGCCTCGCGAAAACGCATGCGAAAAGGAAAGGAAGAAGAACAATTATTTTGCCCAGATTAGACATGAAGAGCTCAAATCCTTCCAAAAATTTTGGGGCTTTGTCCTTGAAATGTTTTCTCAATGTTTATGTGCTTTTATACATGCAATGAGCAACCGAATTGATTATTAGAGCGGAAATTCAGGTGAGACACTTAAGAAATTGACCAAATAGGGGTGTGAAATATCAAGAATACCTTAAAATTGTGAAATATATACTTGATACAGAACAAAGATATAAAAAAGGCCAAAAAAAAAAAAAGTAATTAATATAGGACATATGAAATAGTATCTACATTATTCTTCCCAAATGCAAGATCGATTTTAATTTGGGTGTGGCTATATTCGCGTTATAGTTTTTGCAAGTTTGCATTAAAGGTCCCAAATATTTACTTATTGATGTACTTATATTATTGACTTTTTCTCATCGCATTTTTATTCCTAACTTTCAATTAGTTAGCACATTTAGTGTTGGTTTTCGTCCAAAAAATCTATTAAAAGGAAGTAAAAAAGATTTATCTCTCCTTCATATTTTTCAAAAATAAGTGAAAAAAAAAAGTACGACTAAATATTTGCCATTTTATTTAAACTAAGCTAACATAATATTTGGACGCAAAGTGTTAACAGGGATAATATGTACAATTTAATGAACGATTGTGGATAAGAATATGACGAAAAAAGATGGAAAATTAAGCGCAAAGATAAATATTAGAAACCTTTAATCAATTAAAATGTGTAATGTTTTTAATGTTTTATCATTGTATTAATGCCAACTTTGCAGGTCTTTTTTTTTTTTTTTCAGTTTTAAATTGTGTATATATTATCTATTTGCACAGAAAATATATAATCTTTTTATTTTTTCTGTATTTTCCTTTTGGCATTGATGTTATTTTGATG